ATTCAAGTTTCAAATGGAAAATCCATGAAACCACGTTTTTCTCTATATTTACCGTTATAAAATTAATTTTCGAAGTGACCCAGAAAAATCAAAGGTACTTTCGTGGTCCAGGGACTCCAACTAAACAGAATTGGTACATTAGAACCCCTGAAAAATTTTCGTTTCGCACAGTGTTATTATATGCAGAACGTCAAATTCTTAGAACGGCTGTTTAGATGATGATCTGTCAATATTCCGATATATTTTTATTTTATGGCATAAATATTCACCTCGGCTTAGAATGGTGAACCACAGAAAGTCGACCCCGTCCGACTATACTGCTCCGTGTTAATAAATAAAATTCCACATATTTTATAGCATTGTTTAAAGTTTTCTTTTTTTATTCTGATGGATGCATCATAAACATAATTGGTTTTCTTTTTTTTTATTATTATAAGAAGTGTTTTGTCTTTTATTTTGAGTTGAATTTTTTGTATTTTATTTTAATTGCTAACAAGATGAATTATGCTCTAATTGAGAGTCAAATCTGAGTGTCGTCCATGGATGTGTTACAGTATACAATTAATAATAATAATGTTTTATTATTCATTCATTTTTTATAATATATTTAATCATACTATATATATAATAAAGTTTTTCTTTTTTAATTGTAGATCACATTTTTCAATGGAAATAAACAAAGTAATATAATTATTGAATAAAATAATAGACTACTAAAATATACAATTACATATGCATGTATGTAGGTTTTTGTGAATGTTATTATGTTAAAGATATATATGAGGATTTTTTTAATTTTTTTAGAATGATAATAATAATTTACAACACTACTACTTACACTACTCATTCGAGACAAGACAATAATGATAACTCAATATTTAAAACTACAACGTGATTGTGATATTGGTGTTTTAATTTTTTATTTATGTGACATTAAATTAATTGTTATTCAATTTTTTTAAAAGGTTTATAGAAGAAAGGTATGGAAATAAGGAAACAAAGACAGCTCTGGAATTTAGAGAAGAATCAAAACATCAAAGAAAATCCAAATGACTGATATCACCCGTTTTATACGTAGGATGTCAACTTATGGGCCGCGAACAGTTAGCGGATTTTTGAGAGATACTCGAAGCAAATGACCGAGTGATCATCAATGTTTCTCGGTTTGCAGTCATGACACCGACCGTAGATACCAAGCCCTTGCCATGGTCGGCCTCAAATACCGAATAATCCCATGGATATTACTGACAAACCCTCCATTTTAAAACCAATGTGACATCCGCACACTCCAATGACATCGGCCACTGCCAACTTTATAATGGACCCTTCTATTGTTCCTCCCAAGCCCATTATACTGAAGAATCAAACAGATCTTATTTTCAATTTAATTGAGAAAACCGGTGCCTTGAGCGTCTTTGAATGACGAGGAATACTATTTTTTAATTTGGAACCTATATTGAAAATTTTCAGCGAAGACGTTTCGTAGTCATCAAGAGCCTGGAATACCAATTTACAGTCCCTATGGTTGTAAAATTAAAACAACAAAAATGGACGTTTCGTAGTCATCAAGAGCCTGGAATACCAATTTACAGTCCCTTTGGTTGCAAAATTAAAACAACGAAAATGAAGCGTGAGAACACGAAATGCCAAAATACAGCCACATTGGTCGTAAAATGCTGATAAAAATGTGGCCGGACCTACATTGAAATTTTTTTTGCAAAGATATTTCTAAACTACCAAGAATCCGCAAAACCGCATTAAAGCCACTTTGTATGAAATTATGTTGGGATGTATAAAATGTGATATCGGAAGAACTTGTACAAAGACTTAGAGTAATATTATTTTCCAGGATACCAGAAAGACTTGACAATTTCAATAAAAGTTTTGCAGCCTTTAGCTGACATTAGAACTAGAATAGAACAAACTAGATGGAGATATATCTTTACATCTCTGTAATATATATCATATCATTCCGCAGGGTAAAACAATTAAATTCCATTACAAAATTTAAATTTTCGACAATATGATATATGTAATAGTAGAGCTTAGGAGGAAATTATTGTTAGTGTTAAACGAATCGTGTAAAGCCAAAAATGGTCTTATTTAATAATTTTATTTTTGTTTATAATGTTTCTTTATTTATGCTTCCTTTTCATAATAGTTTTGTATTTATTAAAGTAAATGTTAACAATTTTTTTTCTTTTTTTAGAAATTTGTAGAGTTTTTCATTTTGTTTGTAATTGCTTGTGTATATAATATGCTTGTTGTTGTTAGATGTTTCTTTATATGTGTATATTATTATTAGATGAATCAATTTATGCTACTATCGATCACCTTTAATTTTTATTTCTTGACTTTGTTTTTAATTTAGTTCAACATGTATTTAATAATTTTTTAATTATCTTTTTCTTCAATTTCAACATGTCAATAGTCATCAGTTTTACAATCAAATCAATAAATTTTGTTTCATTTTCAATATTTAATTAAAAATATAATTTATGTTTAAAGATCATTTTTTGTTGTTTTTTTATTTGTATCAATTTGTTCACTTTGTTTTCTAAAGGCTTAATATGTATAAGGAAAAAAATAATGTTGTAGTTGGATGTTTTATTCTTTTATACAAGATTCTAACATATATTAAATATATATATTTTTGTGTTGTGTTTATTGTACAAAATATAATAGCAAAATGAAAATATACATATATAAACTTAGTTTAAAAGTACTAACAAAAAAGTAATAAATAAAAAAGATAAATAATAATTATAAAAAATTAAAGAAAAATATATAACAAAATTGTTCGAAGAAGTTTTAAAAATAGGAATGAATATTTGTATGTATAATAATTTAATAATTAAAAAATGAGGACTAAATATTTTTTTTTCATACAAATGTAATATATATTTTTAAGAACTTTAGTAAAAGGATATCTTTTGAAATATGTTCCTTTCCTGAACGTTTCCAATACAAATTGTTACACAAGGATTTCCAAGAAGTAACAATAATTGTGGAGACTTTCTGAATTGCCGTACCATTGGTCTGGAAATTGCTATGGAATAACACCATTTATATTTCAATGGAAAGAAATACAATTTGTTATTCCACAAATGTCCATTAGGCCTTCTGTTAATAGACACTTTGTATTCTGGTGTTTAAGAGAAGACCATTCATGTATTCCATAAGAAAATAATTTCGCTTAGGTTGAAGGCGTTTCCATTCATCTCTCCTCACGTCATTAAGGTGCTGAAATGTATAATTTCCAAAGTATTGGGTTGTAAGGTAACAAAGCTGCGCATAGGAAATGTTCGGATGTTTCATTGTTTTCCCGGCATTTTTTACACTTTCTGTTCCCAACACATTCAATGTTTTGCCTACGAAGTACTTTCTGTCTACTATTAGAAGGCTATTTGGTAATCAAATCATTTAATATACACCGAAGTTCAAATTATAATGACGAGAAAAGAAGAGATACATTAAAATATCCCCTATATATCTTTGCTGGGAAGTATCCGAGCTATCCAAAATGTGAAATATTCAAAGGACTCCCTGTTATTGCTTTTTGTTCATTCTTGAGGCCACAAGGATCAATATCATAGATCAATTAACAACCGAGAGAATTAGCTGTGGGCGTCCTAAATTTTTACAGAATTTCAGGAAGGAAAAAAATATTGTGGCCGGGATATATTTTAAGAACATAAACGAAATTGTTTTCCATCTGATAAGTTCGGCACGTACGAACCCCTTTCACATGTCGGAAGTCTTAAATGGGGGCTATCAAGATAGTCCACTTTAATGTAATCCTAAAACACAGAATGCAAATTACAGCCACTTTGGTTTGACAATGGCTATAACCTAAAAAATGCCGAAAATCTGGAGGCTAATGTTCAATGGGGGCTATAATGAAACGTGGACCGACCCTTGTACAGAGGGTTTGCCAAAACATAAACCCACATTAAAAACATTGAAGATGTTTTTATCTCCTAAAACACAGAATGCAAATTACAGCCACTTTGGTTTGACAATGGCTATAACCTAAAAAATGCCGAAAATGTGGAGGCTAATGTTCAATGGGGGCTATAATGAAACGTGGACCGAGACTATGAGCACATTAGGTTTTAATTTTAAATGCAGTTTTAAGTCGTTTTTCAATTCGCCTCCATAACGACTTATTGAAAATAATCTTGTGTTCTTTTATTTATGCCCGATAAAAAATTGAATCCAAAGGATTAATAAAGAAATTTGGTGGATATATGAACAATTAAAATTTCTGGTAATGCCCTATTATCGCCGAATTTACCACAAAAAACAAATATACAATAATGTTAATGGTAACTGGCTTCAAATAAAGTGAAGTAAATGAACTCCTTTTATTTTTATATCTATTGTACGAGGGCAGTGCGAAAGTTTATAGCCTAGCACAGAAAGCGGGGTTTGAACAGAAAAAGATTAAATGATTTGGAAACTTGCGGATGCGGATTTCATGGGATCATCGAGAGACCATGGATGATTTGTACAGTCCTAAACCGAAAAAAATCCCCTTATTACACATTCATCCAATTACAAAACATTCTCTTTAATATTTGTTTTTGTCAAAAATATTTTTCTTTATAATAATAATTTATAATTTCATTTCAAATATATTTTTTGTTCAGTATATATTTTTTAACAAAAAAGGAAATAAAATAAAACATAATAATTCCAATAAATATTTTTATTTAAATATATAATATATATACGAATGTATGTTTTTGTATGTATACATATATATAGATAGAAGATAATGAAATAAATACAATACAGCTTTGTAACGATCTTCGAGAGCGAGAATATAGAGAAATAAAGATAGTCAGTTTTCTATATGGATTTGTTTTTTTCTTTACAAATAATAGTAATAATAATAATAGATTTACATACATAATTAAATTGTGTGTCTGTGTGTGAGAGAGATAGTGGGTGTGTATCTACTATGAGTTCACATTATTTGCAATGTTCTTTTTTCCTTTTTCTTCTTTTGTTTTTGTTACTTAATTTTAAAATTACACATAACATTTAAATCTAATAACGTTGCAATTGTTAGTCGCCAGCATCATCCCATTTACGTTCCTCCATTATGCGATCAAAACAATCGGCCAAGAATGCGTGCTAAACGGGAAGAGAAAAAAATATTGGCAAATTAATATTGTATTATTGTTATTAACAGTAGAGAAGGAACACATCAGTTGGATTTGATTTGATCTACCGAAGAACTTTATTGGACATTCTGCAAATGGAAATAAGATACAGTCGAAATCGCCTATAACGACGGCCAAGGAATCGGCGAAATTGGTCGTTATAAGCGAGATATCGTTATAAACGATTATTGTATATCCATTATAAGACATCTCGCAGAAATTTTGTCGGTACTTTTGGATAAGTCGTTATAGCCGATATGTCGATATAAAGGATTTTGACAGTATATTAAAGTTCTTTATAACGTCGGATATATATTCACGACTTATATTCGGACTTATATATATAATATATTTACATGTTCATCAACGTAATAACGACCTCTTGTGGATCTTCTATAGACCTTGATAACACATTTTTTATATAATCTTTTGGGTTTAGGAATAGCTCCCATATAAAATTATCCCCAATCTTCAGTATTTTGGGGTTTTTGAGAGCGTTTTTCAACTGAATTCGTTGAATTTGGGTACAATGAATTCTTTTTGGGTACCAAATTGCTCCATTAAAAATTATAATTATAGTCCACTTTTTCCGGTAGCTCCCATATAAAAATTATAAATATAGGTCCACTTTTTCTGGTACCCACCATATAACGATACCCCCAATTTTCAGTATTTTCAGGGTTTTTATCGCATTTCTCGTCCGAATTGACAGTAATTTAGCACTTTGAGTTCTTATCGGGTAGCAAATCTCTCCATTAAAAATTATAAATCTAGATCCATTTTTTCGGGTAGCCTCCATATAAGGGAGGTAATAGAGATGCCCCTTGTTTTGGGTATATTGTGGTTCTTGAGCGCGTTTTTCCAACAAATTCGCTGTAATTTGGTACATTGGGTTCTTATTGCGTACCAAATTTATCCATTAAAAATCCACATTTTCTGGTAGTCCCCATATAACGGTACCCCCAATTTTCGGTATTTTGAGGCATTTACCGACCTAATTGGCAGTAATTTAGCACTTTGAGTTCTTATTGTGTAGCAAATCTCTCCACTAAAAATTATAAACATCGGTCCATATTTTCTGGTAGCCCCCACATAACGGTACCCCCCAAATTTCAGTATTTTGGAGGTTTTGATCGCATTTTTCAAGCGAATTGGCTGTAATTTAGTACTTTTAGTTTTTATTGGGTAGCAAATCTTTCCATTAGAAATTATACATATAGATCCATTTTTTTGGGTAGCCTCCTTATTTATTTTCTATTTTGGATTGGCAGTAATTTATTTTGCACTTTATTATTAATATTCACCTCCGTTTAGGGGTAGTCCCCATATAACACCCCTTTTTATATTATAATAGTTATATGATTTGCTCCGCAGCAAATCTGAAAAAACTTCAGTGTGCAATGTAACTGTACCTGCAAATTTGTATGTGCACTTTTTGGAGTTTTTAGAAAACTTCTCTATTAAAAACTGCTTATGGTTTACATAAATCGGTTTGTAGAATTCTCGGTATATGCCCATTTTTTATTTTCAATATATTTTAATTTCAAGTTCCTGTCAGTATACCTATGGTGAAGGTATACTTGTCATTTGTTTGCTTTATCAAATGACGTCCATTGTTCCTTCATTTGACAAAAGGCCCTAGTAAAATTTTCCATAGACAAAAAACTCTTTAAAAATGCCTCCTCAAGGCCTTCGATCGATTAAAGAGAATTACAAAGATAAAATACAAGGTATTCCTTAGAATGAAATATGTGTTCCTCCTCCATAGCTCTGTAAAAATAATTCACCACAATATAGACAAAACTTACATAAGGTGTATAAACTTTAACCCATCGAGCTGGTTTATCGGGTCGATTATATTGGAAACAAAATGACATTGATTCTTCATCGCTTTCCCAACGGGTTATGCTATCCCATGTTAATTCAACCATTTGAGCTTCCAAGGAGCCATCTTCGCGGCAAGCATGTAAACGAAAACTCTTCATGCCTTTAAATGAGAAAAAATCAATAAATTATTTATTTAAAACAGAATGGCAACAAACACACCCATGGTAATGTAAATGGCAAGTAATAATAATGAGAACAAAAGTAAGTACTTGAAACAAGAACCCACAAAAATATCTATTAAGAATATTATAATAAAGGAAATTGTGTGTGTGCCTTTGACAATATTCTTTTGCTCTCAAGACCAATGCAAATGCCATGAGTATGTCACCACTAGTACTTGACATTTTCTTTTTTCTATGCCTTATCTTTGGCAATAAAGAAAAGCAGCAGAAGAAGAAGAAACTAGCAATACGCAAACTTACCAACTGCCGGCACAACATGACCTTCCTTTCGACTGTCACATGCACAATGGGGAAATACAACATCACCATAACCGGGCAGTGTACGAGCCAATGCCAAATATTCCGATGCCTTTTTAGCATCCTGCAGTGCTTTCAGTTCATATAGTCGCCCCTCGGCTCGGATATTACCACGATTCACTTCATCCACAGCTTGATAGAAAATAAATTTCGCCGCCTGTTCTCCTTGCGGCAATGTCAATTCGCGTGACACCGAGAATAGCCATCGTCGTACACACAAACATGTACTGGAAGCTGTACTGTAATTTTGAACATACAATTGATGGGGTATTTCGTGGGGTTGCAATTTCCGTTCGAAATTATATTCGACAATTTCGAATAAATAGAAATATTGTTGAGTATACGATGTGAAATTGGCACGCTGCACCAAAATTTCCCACACCACATGGGCGTTGGCGGATTTTTTCACCGATACCGTTGTGACTTCATGATCGGGCAGCATAACTTTAATATCGACAGGTGAGGCAGATATATCATCTTCGGAATCGGTGAGAAAATCTTGGACAGCATCGCTTTCGGCAATCACCCGTACGGCACATACTTTTTCCAGATATTGTTCGAGACCGCGACGTCGCGTGTCCAGCTGTTGTTCGCTCAATTGGAATGGCCATTTACCGGGTAATTTGGGAAAATTGAAACCGGTGAATTCTTTGCGTAAAATTGAATGTAAATTGGCAAATTCACGATAGCGACGTGAGCACAGCTGACGTCCGGCCATGTGAATATTGAAAACAATATAACGTTCACCATTACGATTTATAATGCTATAATCGGGAATACTGTAAAGAAATGGTGGTTATTTGATTTGTAATATAACGAATATAAATTCACTGACTTACCTTATTGGCAATGATCTTTTATCGGAATAGTCAATATATGAATAACCACTCTGGTCTTCTTGAGGTTCAAGTCTTTCGGCTTCCTGGAGATAAATGAGAAAGAATTAGAGATTATTATTTTTTCATAAAGACTTCGAAACAATGAACGATAAATAAAAATGTTTGATTCATGATTTGATTTGATTCCTTTAATTAGACGTTCCGGGTTCTTAACGTATTCGTCAATGTAGATCTAAGTTTTGATATTGTTCCATTATAAAGGTGCCGACCCATTTGAAATTTTTTAATTTCCCCTATGGAGGTTAGATAAGGAAAATCGAAAAAAGGAGCTATTGTCTATCCAAACAGGGGGCGTTTCAGGGGTATTTCGAGGATTGTATAAATGCTGGAATAAGTGTATGTTTAGTCAGACCTTAATGGTTCTTTTTGATCACACCTCGGGGATTTCTACAATAATCTTAATCCTGTGACTAAGGCATTGTTTCCGATAATATTTTGGCTGAGGATTTTCAGTCATAAATAAGGATTTTTTGCATAGAAAAACCAGTAAGAGAAGTGGTAAAGTCGGACGGACCGAATATACCACTTTGGGTATATTCAACAGATGAATCCCAACAGACGTCGCATTTTTGAAGGACCATTAACATGAAAATGGATCCATACACATGCCATTCTGCAACCTATACTACATATATTTTTGGTCAGATATAGAGCTGCTTCTTACAATGGGACAAAATTATGTAAATTAATTTAAAGCAAATATCAATCCGGGTGTCCGACTGGATAAACATGAGTAGTTTGGTGCGACATTTAATAAAAATTGGACGAAAAAATATATAAAAGCTATATCGAAATCTAAACCGATTTCATCGGAACTTGTCACAGGTTAAGTTATACTAATTTCAGTATGTTTTTTGTGTATATCGGGCACATTTTGTGTTCTTAGTGCATCATGTACTTAAAATCGGGAGAAACTATATATAGGAGCTCTATCCAAATCTGAACCGATTTTAAAACTATCCACACGCTCAGTACGTTGTGCAAAATTTTGTGTCAATCGGCCTAACTTTGGGTCTTTGGTACACCATTTACATTAATATATATGGGATCTATATCTAAATGTGGACCGATTTTCAGGAAATATAACACACACCATTCTAGACCTAATTCAGTTCGCTGTGCCAAATTTCGTAAAATCGAAAGATATATAGGGACTTTGGTACACCATTTACATTAAATCGGCCGGAAATTATTTATGGGAGCTATATCTAAATCTGGACCGATTTTCAGAAAACTGAACACACATCATTCTAGACCTATTTGATTACATTATACCAAATTTTGTGGAAATCGAAAGATATATGGGACTTTGGTACACCAATTACATAAAATCGGTCGAAAATATATATGGGAGCTATATCTAAATATGGACCGCTTTTCACGAAACTTAACACACATCATTCAAGACCTTATTCACAACACTATACCAAATTTCGTACAAATCGAAAGATATATAGGGACTTTGGTACACCATTTACATAAAATCGAACGAACTTCAATAGGGTTCATCCTTGGGCCAAATAAGTGACCTATGCCAAATTTCATCCAATTCGGATCATAAATGCGACCTTTACATTGTTTACAATTTAACATGGACAGACGGACGGACAGACAGACAGACGGACGGACATACATAAATCGCCTTAAAAAGTGATTCTATGCTTATTCTCAAAAGGAACCATGTGTCTATTTCGTTTATTTTTGTCTGTTACAAACATATGCACAAAGTCGTAATACCCTGTACCACAGTGTGGTGAAGGGTATAAAAACTTAGTCCAGAATGAGTATTCAACGACAGATGAAGTGTTCCTAGCACCCATAGTTGTCTCCTTTTTATCTCACGTTTATTATATCGATGATTGGATGCTAATGATGACATTGTTCTGGGGCTACTTACTTGCTGTGTTACTGATATAACCGTCAATGTTAAACAGTCACCGCCAGATTTAATGAGATCAACAACTTGTTTGTGTGTGGCACCCTCTACACTGATACCATTTCTGTAATGAAAGTGAGAGAAAGAGAGAAAATATTGTTAATATTTGTTAATTAATTTTCCTTTTTTAACGGAAAAGTGTGTTAATTAAATGCAAAAAAAACAAGAGCAGGGCCATATTGAAACAAAAAAATGAAAAAATATTATTTTCAAGTGTGACTGAAAAAAATCATGGTTTAATAAAAATGAATCTGAATTTGTTTCATGCTATCGAACATGTGGGATTGGATAACAAGTCTTTGCCTTTATATCACTTGATGGAACAGGCATTTGTGGCATATATGTTTAAAGGATTTTGATTATGGTTTCGCGCCCACAAATCTATGTTTTTTCTCACAGATCTCCGACTAAATATAAATTTTTATTCCTGTGAGTTTTATTAAATATTGTAACGGAAAAATAGTAATCGATTTAATAGAAATCAATTAAATTTCATCTATTTGCTAAACACAAATCAATTCAATTAAAATATACTGGGTTGGTGGCCCCCCAGACAGAAGACAAACGAGCAAACGAACGAACGACCATAGAACAACGGACGTAAAAAAATAATAATAGAGAAAATAAATAAATAAGTTAATTGAATAACTCTCAAGTGATTTGTAATGGAAATGCCCTTCTATTTCATTTTAAAATAGAAATAATAAAACCACAATATTTGCTAAAAGACTGGGAATCATATAAAGTGGGAGAAAGTAGAATTAGAGCTAGAGATAGATTTTTCTTATATATTCATAATTTTTGATAGAAAAAAGTACTGAACACATTTCAAAATCAATTTTAAATGAAAATGAAAAAGTTTGTAGGGTTATTCAGCAGAAATAATGAGGTTTAAGCGTTAGAATAGTTCGTATGTAGAAAATCGCTTCATCAATGATATTTGGCACCATACACGATTTGCTATGTATGAAACCACGGGCCGAACGAATTTCACGTTTTCAAAGAAAAAACAGGACCGATTAATCCATGTGCCCACAACCCTACCAATGGGAGACTTGAAGCTATTTAGGTTGTTCATCGTGTCAATTGCGGACATTTTGCTTCTTCACACACCATAAACCAGAAATGGACCGTGTTTGTATAAAACTTGTTTTTTAAAGCTTGTAAAGTTCAGTTAGCACGAGAAGTCATGTTCAGTTTGACAAGACAGTTGAAAAAGGGATTCAAACTTGACCTTAAGTATGATGTTATTTGCATGTCCTTTCGCGTAGTACCATAAGTCTGATGGTATCAAATCGCATGACTTTGATGGCCACTTGACATCGCCACGACGAAAAATTACGCGGCCGGGAAATGTCTCTTGCAACAAAAGCCATATTCGCTCGAGTTGTGTGACATGTGGTGTCGTATTGTTGAAAGCACCTATTCTCCAAGGCGTATTATACAATATGAGGCAAAATGTCGGTTATCATGTGAGCATAACTTTCAACTCATTCTTAGAGAGAGTTCCGTGAGAAAATCTGAACAGAGACACCTTAGGAGAGAGTTCACAGGGAGGAATTCGGCAGTCGTTCCATAGTCGTTTTCAAAGAAGCAAGGTCCAATCACAGTTTCGAACCAAAGAGTGCACCAAATGGTGACTTTTTCTGGATGTAATGACCTCTGTTCAATTAATTGTTTACCCTAAGCAATAATCTCCTCTTAAAACACGATATGAAAAGAAAACATAGGTTTAACAAACTAGTTTGATAGATATCGAATTCCAATCCCATACTTTTGAAACACGAATTGCATCTAGTTATCGTTGCAGATCTTACAAAATGCATAGCTAAGAGGTTGATTAAGATTAGCATCAATTTCTATATGAGAGTCGTTTATTTTGAAAGTGATTTAAGTACAGTTTAGATTCCGATTCAATTCGAGCTTCGAAAATAAAATTTAAGCGCTCAAAATGCCACAAAGTAGAAAATAATATAAAATAACACCAAAGTAGTCATTACTAATTATAACTAAATTGTTGACCTATATTTTTCGATAAATATTATAGCTACAGTTCTCCTTGGCTCGGAGACCCATACTAAAATTTGATGTAGAACATGTTCTTTATTAGCATCATTTTCCTACAATGAAGTTTAAGGTTTCAAAATACAAACAAAGAATAAAAATGTACGAAATAAACCCCAAAAAATCCATTATGTTATATAACAAATTTGTTAGGACTATTTTCCTTTATATACAGTACACCTACAATTTACTTGTCTTCGGAGACCTCTAGTAAAATTTGATGCAGACATTTTTTTTCATTGACACCAAGTCCTCAAAATGTAGTATTGGGGGCTAAATATGCACCGAATCGAAAGTATAGCAAAATTAACCCACAACAATTTATCTTATTTTATAACCAAATTTGTGTAGAAGCCATCCATTCTGCTCTCGTAAGCTCAGTTATCCCCTCACTTCTAACGGACTGGATTGATAGAATACTGGAAAGCAGAATTATCAACTCATCCTTAGGAGAGAGTTCCGTGAGGAAATCTGTCAACAGAGACAGGCGGCCAGATGTGCTCTGAGGCTCCGGGAAATGGATGCCTGGAAATCGCTGAACTATGGTCACGCTAGTATCCTAAACACAACGACAGTTAGTGACCTCTTGAGGGGAAGTCGTCATATTAGTGACTATGTTCCCTCTCACAGAGACTTTAGTGACATCAAAGTTGAGTTTCCTAGGAAATGGATGCCTGGAAATCGCTGAACTATGGTCACGCTAGTATCCTAAACACAACGACAGGTTGTGACCTCTTGAGGGGAAATCGTCATATTAGTGACTATGTTCCCTCTCACAGAGACTTTAGTGACATCAAAGTTGAGTTTCCTAGTAGGGAATCCTGGACTAGTGGATCCTTACCTCTACGCCTGAATTCTCTCCCAAAAGAATATCTTCGCTGCTGGCACATATTAAGAGAGAGATCAAACTCATTGGGGATCGTCACTGCAATATCAGATCTCTCACTTCGAAGTGGGACACCAGCGGTGAGGATTATGTGAGGACGAAGATCCTTCTTCTCTAAAATAGACCCCAACCAGATCCTAGGCTTTGTCAAAAATCTGACATGGCTAAAATAACCATTTCTCCGCTCTCCTTCTTGCACTATCTTTTTCTTTGCTCTTACACTCTCTCTTCTCTTTCTCTTTGCAGGTAAAATAGGATGATCACAATGGACACTAGTCTCCGAGTGGACGGTTGTTACTAACAACCGTACATCCCTAACATAACCTACTTTTGGGAAGTCGTTCAAGTTTAGATTTTCGAAAGGGCAATCAATATCGAAAGGGCAATTAATAGAGATTGAATCCTTTGACTTGTATTTTTCTGTTATATGCTTGACTTCGGCTTTGTGGTTAGGTTTGGTTGTTATTGTGGTTTCCCTATGCCAATACCACCTTCATCATCATGGCCATCATCGTCATCATCACTGGTTGTCGTCATTAGCCGCAATTGTGCTGGGTGCGTGCGGGACGTGGTACATTGTTGTGCGTTAGGCTAGCGCAGCAGAAGTTTTGTTTGGTTTTGCCCGGTTGACTTGTTGGTTAGTTGACATGGTGGCATTGATTCCCCTGCTCAGTGGTTTTTGAAAAAAAAAAAATCTCGACTAGAATGAATTAAGTTGCTTGGTTACCCTTAAGGATTGAGAAACCTTCACAAAGGTACTTGACTGTGTGAATGGGAATGTATAGAACAATTACGGATATTTCCTGATTTTACTGCTTGGTTAGCTGGGTGGTTGACTGCCTCGCCTTGAGTGCTGTGAGTGGTGCATTGTATGCATGGTACTATTATGGCAACTGACTGCCTGCATCGCATCGCAGAACCACAACTCTGCTATTGTAATTTCATGATTCTTCTCCTTTCTATTACATTTACATTTTTGTATAGCTGAGTTTTCTTCACTTCTTTGGAAAAGTAATTTGCGGTCAATGGGGGCTCGCCGAACAAACAAATTTGAACAACAATTTTTAAATTAATATTTAATTGGTGAAATTTCAGATGTGGGCAAAGTGAGTCGTAGCTTAATAGTTCAAAATGAGAGGTCTTATTTTGAGTTACCCAGTATTTCGGTAGCTGGCACTTTTACACATACTCTGTCGATGCCCCAGGCTTCGAAACTTAAGACATCAAGTATTTGATTGACATGAAATGGGTACTCTAATTTTTTCTCCGAGAATGATTAAAAGTTTTGCCAAATTTTGTCATGGCCGAGTTAGCAACTCTAACACCTACCTTCTTCCTTTATATTTATACCCTATACAACTATTTTGTCAGGGTATTATAGGATTGTGCAGCCCAAAGAGTTTGTAACGCCGCGAAATATTGGCCCTAGACCCACCTTCAACTGTACCGATCGTGATATCTCGTCTATCTGATCTAGATCTAGACATGTGTGTCCGTCCGTCCGTTTGTCCATTCTGTTTTGCATGTAGGATGGCTTCTGGCCAAAGAGGTCCCCTTTTGGTAATGATCAGTTAATATTTGGGACATGAAATGGGCCAAAAACTTTATTTTTGTCTGTTTTTCTGGCCACAATTGCGACTTATGGTGGAATCTGACCAGTAAGGGAATCTAACCAAAGAATAAGCACGACTGTTTTGATGAAGATCGGTCAGTATTTATCGGGTCAAATGGGCCCAGAGTATATAAATATACTTCTGAAGGACCCGAGATGTTGATGGTATATCCAAGAGGAGTGGTTGACCTTTAAATTGATACCAATTACATAGTTGTATGTACTCGGATGTGATGGCTTTTCGCAAATATTTAAACGTTTGTATGTGCGGGCGAAAATGTCGCGCTTCTCTCGAAGGCGTCGCCTTTAATTTTCGGTAATGTTGAAATGATATTTAGGGAATGCAATGAAGTGAAAACTTTATTTTTGTCAGATTTCATAATTACTCTAGAGGCCATTATTATATGCAGAACATCACATGTTTTACACGGTGAAATGGATCTGACCAAATACTTAGAATGACTGTTGATGATCGGTCAATGTTCCGAGGGTCAAATCAACCTAAACCTAAAGTGACAAAGTTTATATTATATTGTATAAATATTCACCTTGGGAAGAACAAGATTTGGAAAATATGGCAGGGTTAAATAGTGGAGCTGTTTACCTATAATCGGTCAAGAGGGTACAAAACGTAGAAAGTTAGATTTTCGTTGTAGTTGTATAGGGTATCATATGGTCGACCCGTTCGACTATACAGCTCCGCTTACTGGTTTTTAATTTCAATGGATAATAGATATCTAAGTGGTGCGGCTGCTACCCGCCTGGCGGACATCCTCTAACCTAGCCTAACCCACTGGTTATTAATTGTATTTTTTATACTTGTCAAATTTTATATAAAGGGAGTAACCCTTTAGTGATTTCAAAAGCAAGCGACAGGAATTTTTAGAAACTGGAGACTGGAGCAGTTACAAATATGATAAGGCCTGTGCACCATTGTCCTGTGCATCCCTCCAGATGTTTTTAGGAATTTGAACTGTCTTACGCAGATTATGACGCATTTTTCCACCTACACATCCATGTAAAGTCCAGCTCACACAAAAATTGAAACCAGTTGATCATTCACATCGTTGTAGATATGTGAAATGGGTGCTTGCACAACAAACGCTGGACGGCAATTTCTCGAATAAAACATTCTTCAGCCCTGAATCACATTTCCTACTAGGTGGATGTGTTAAAAAAAATATTCCGAGATACCTCATGTAATTGAAGAGAGCCTGTTACATCCAGAAAAAGTCAATGTTTGGTGCGCTCTTTTGTCCGAAGGGGTGATTAGGCGTTACTTCTTCGAAAACAACAATGGAATGACTGTCAGCGTCAATTTGGAGCGTTATGATCATATGATAACCGACTTTGTTTGCCTGCTACGACTTGGAGAATATGCCACACAACTCGAGCGAATATGATTTCATTGCAAGATACATTTCTTAGCCGCGTATGTTCTCGTCGTTCCGATATCGACTGGTCACCAAACCAAGATCATGACACCATTAAACTTTTTATGGGGCTATATGTTTATGCCGATAAACCTTCAATTCTTGAGCACTTAAAACCCAACATTTGTCATGTTTTGGTTGAGATACCGCCCAAAATGGTGTGCCAAAAAATGATCGAAAATTACGTCAATAGAATCAATGCTTGCAATGCTTGCTTGTTGTGTGATGGTCATTTAAATGATGCAATGTTTCGAGCATAATGTCAAGTTTAAAACTCTATTTACTTTCGAAACTGTGACATCAATAACCCAGCACTTGGTGACTCACTTCCACCCGTTTTCGCAGTGGGCCCTCACATTTTACTATATACATTTCTTAAGGGATGATATATGGGTATATTAATTATATTTAGTGCCATATCCGATACATTTTTAGAAAGCCATTTGAATGTCCTTTCCAACGGTATATGGAAAAGTGACTCACTTCCACCCGTTTTCGCACAGTGGGCCCGACATTTTACCATATATGGATATTTTTAATATATTTAGGGCCATACCCGATACATTTTCTGAAGCCCTTTTAATGTCCTCTCCATCGCAGCACAAAAGGATATGTCATTATTCGCTAAAAAATCGAATTTAAGCTGTTCAAATTTTCAATTTATAATTTATATATATATATATATATATTTAATTAATTCAATTATACTCATCGACTTAAGGATTATTAATCCTGTTGGCACAACTGTAGCTTGTATTTGTGTTAAGTACTGTACATAGAACTGAATACTCCCCTTAGCAAATAAAAATTAATTTGCACTAATGTCATGACACTACACAGATAATTATAAGCATGTAAATGCATGCACAGTACAATTAACCCTCTTAATAGCAAACTTTTAATTTTCAAATGGAAAACCTGATTTTTTTCTTTTCAATCCCCTTTTTAAGGACTTTACAAAATAGGGTTAACCAGGGGACATTTGCATCCACAAGCTGTTTTAAAACTACTCGAATTTCAATTTCCATTTCAATTAAAACACGAAGCATGGTAAAAACGGAATTTCCAAGAATACGACAATAATCCACCCACAGTCCAACACACAAGAACACAAATAAAAAACTTGACACTTCTGCAACACCATTCAAACATTGCAGTTGGTCAGATTTACTTCATTAGTGGATACACCCGACTCACCCGACTGCAGCACAAAGTGTACTGGCAGCAGTTACAGAGCTTCAATTACCTTCTTAATGACCTTTGCTCGAATTCACGAAAGTGCTTGCCCTGTGTCACAGCCGAGAACTGAACATAATTAAAGGGCAGCATTTTTCTTCGTTTCTCTTTTTGGCTGGAGAGGAGGCTCAAATGGAGAAGATAATGCTTTTTTTTTTTGTTAAGGAGTTTTATTGGCCTTCAGTGAAAATTGTAAATGGAAGAATTGCATAAAATTTTCAAATGCAAAATTCACTTATTTTTGTAATTTTTTTTCACATTTTTTTCGAAATAATAAAAAAAGAACAAGAACACTTTCACGAAATAAAAAAGAAGAACTGTTTTGCTCTACGTTTGGCAAACGAAGAAGTGAGGTGATGATCGAGAAAGCCCATTGGAACAACACATTTTAAAATCAAAAATGATCAATAATGTTGTTGATATTGTTGTTGTTGTTATTGTTTCGATTGCTTAAAGGTCGCTTAAAGTATTTATTTTGCTCTCAGAACTTGCTGTTAATATTTATTAATTCATTCGAAAGACACAAACAGAAACAATGATAATAAATAATAATAAAATCAGAGCAATACTGATAATCGTAAAGTACCAGAATATCAGAGAATCAAAATATAATTCACAATACTGGTTCCAAATAATTATTGAATGCATTAGGTTCAGATATTTATTGCTTGTGTGGCACAAAGCTTTGTCTTTTTGCAAATAAATACTGTCCAGATCAATACAATTTAACTGCTGCCATAAAAAAGATAAACATGATCGCGATCGATAGGGTAATCCATTGGAGATTCAAACCAATTTTCGAAACAGAACAGGCATATGTGTCCGACGGACAATAAAATGCACCAAGTAATCACACGTTGGGAATGGAAAGGCTTCTCAACAGCAACTCTTGGGTTTTACAAAACTCGGATCCAAAAATTTTGCTTATTGGCATAGCTCATTTTCGAAAAAGTGAGATCCAATGATTCTGAGAATAAGTACGGGACTGAAGCAGAATAAACGCAACACTATGTTTGAATTCGGGACCTATCGACGACGTTTAGGAAATAAACAATTGAACGTATTAGACATAGGTCTACAAGAAATGCTTATGGAAGAATATGGAAATAGAAAATCTAAATAGAAGAAGGTGAGAATAGAAGATAAGAACTAATCAGAAATATATACATGCATATTCTAAGAGTATTTCTTAGGATCTTTCGGAGGCAAAAGTTTGTATTTTTATATCCTACCTAACTGTGTTGTAATGACATTATAGCTATGTGCGGGACCAAGAGTTTATAACACCACGAAAAATGGTCCTAGAACCATACTTTAGTATACCGATCATCATATCTCGACTAGCTGAGTCGATCTAGACATATGGGTCCGTCCATTATAATTTGTAAACACGATGCAGGCCACAGTTATGGGTCAATCGCCACGAAAATTTGTATGTAGGACGCCACTAAATATTTGTATGTCTCGAACACCACTTAATATTTACACGGGTAAGGGATTCTGATCAACGAATGTTTTCATGAAGATTGGTCAATAATAAAAAGTTCTAATGGACTCGGCCTTTTGTGTGAAACATTACAAAATTTGTATTCTATTGCGTATATATTTACTCCTGAAGGACATAGAACCCTGATGTTGATAGTATATATGAAAGTATTGATAAATTTGTACTTAAATACTTACAGGTGTCTACGTATTCTTATATTTCTTAGTATTACCATTACCAAACTAGGGTGCGGAAATGTGGCGCTGAAGGCTAGGAAATTTTACATGAGGTTCCGGTTATGGCCAAGGGCGATGTATACTATTTTTAAAGATGATCAATTGATATTTCGTGGACGAAATGAACCGAACATTTTTTGTCTGGTTTTCTAGTCGCTCTCAACGCCACAATTATAAGCCGATCATTACAAATTTTTCATGGGGAATGGAATCAGGCCAGCTAATTAGAAAGGTTTTTTTTTTGATAATGATCAGTATTCAGCGGTTCAAATAAACCATGACCCTCCTGTGCAAACTTAAAAAAATTGCATGTTATGGCGTAAATGTTCACCTCAAGAAAACTAAATTCGGAAAATTTGGCAGGGTAACAAAGAGTTGCTGTTAAAGTTTCGTGGTAGTTGTGGTAAATAGCATATGGTCAGCACCGTCCGAATATACTGCTCCGATCATTCGTTTTAAGAATATTTATAACATACCTCAGGAAGTGAAAACTGCAATTAGTCCCAGTACCACTGGAAAAAAAACAATATCAAAAAAATCGTGGACCTGAGGGCTTGTTCACCCTTCAAGGACCAAGAATGTCAATTTATTGTGCTTAGATTTTTAACTTAATATTTAGTAGATTTTTAGAAGATATAATCGTGGACTTTTAAAGTAGATTTTTAGGAGATATAATTAGGGAATATTTTTAAAGACCTACCCGAGATATAAGCGTAGATTTTTAATGAAAATTTTTAAGGACCTATCGGAGATATAAGCGTAGATTTTTGATGAAAATTTTTAAGGACTTATCGGAGATATAAGCGTAGATTTTTAATGAACATTTTTAACGACCTATCGGAAATATAAGCGTGGCTATTTAGGGTACATTTTAACGACCTATCAGAAATATAACGGAGATATAACGGTGTGTTTTAGAAAGGCGATTGTTGGGACACATCGGAGATAGACTTGCATTTTAAATAATATTTTTAGAACATATCGGAAAAAATAATATTTGTAGAATTTATCGGAAGTACCACACCACAACTCAGCGATATTGAGCGGTTTTTTTGAATATTTTTTTCCAAAGACTATCTGAGGATATAGACATGTAATTTTAAAAAAAAAAAAATCAAGATATGACAGCTACAAAGGCGTGGACTTTTTTAATTATCAACAATAGAAAGAGGAGAAAAATAAATCATCTCTCTCATCTCATGAAAGAAATATCCAAATTATAAATAGAAGAATACAATAAACAGGCCATGCAATAATAAATATTATTTATTTTATCAGTTGCATTCATGACGAATGCATTCATCATCATGAACATCATTCGCTCTATCAAAGGAGAATGAACCATGGGGTTGGCTGCAGAATATCTATAAATTCGCACATACCTACACACACTCACACATATACATAAATAAAAATATATTTCAATGCAGGAAAAAAAATGCGACTGAGGTCAGGGTTATCTTTTCACTGTTGAGTTCTAGGCTGATTATAAATATATTTATATACCTACATACAAATATATAAAACATTTTTTCGGTAAATAAAAAATAAATATAAACAAAAGAGAGAAAATTTATTTCAATATTGCACCACTCATCATCATTTATTTGTGGTATATTTCTAAGAAATCCATATTAAATGGTGGAAAACGAAACAATCATCAGACATACTGATATACATTCAAATTCATGCCTATAGGAAAAGTATAAAAAAAGTAGCGACAAACATTGCCACTTTAAATGGCAATCAGCGAAAAGGGAAGAAGAAAGGAAGAACAAACGAAAAAGCAAAACAGCAACAAAAATTTAAATAACTTAGATAAGGCCTACTAACTGACCTCTGACCTTATATGTAAATATTTGTCTCGGTTTATGGTGAAAAGGAAATTGGCTGTTTATTCTCGAACCTCCCTGCTTGAGTTATCACAAACCATTTATCTTATTCCCCACCCCGAAAAAAGTGTCTCCACTTCATTCCAGCCTACAGATTGAAGAAGTTTCCAACTGTGATTTTTCGTTTTTAGGGATTGTGGTTGTTGTTGTTGTTCTTGTCTTTCCTTATATTTACCATGTGGAAATGACGTAAATAAATCTATTGATTTCCGTTTCCTATATCACATGAAGACAAATCTACAAAATAAAATAATGAAACAAAATTCAAATTCTAAATAGAAATCGAAACAACGGAATGAAGCATTTTTAAGGGTTAGGAGAACATAACATTTGTGGAAGAAATATATTTAAATAAAAAAGGGCCACTAAACTTCTGGATAATATAAATCGTGAAATTTGGGAGAGTACATATCACATAACATTTTTTGAATTGTAATTTTTAAGCAAGAGGATATACAAACTTTGTAAAATTTTTAAGGATATATAAGCTTGGATCATAAAAAATCTATTTTAAGGATATATATTGGATTTTCCAGGAAAGACACTATTGAAGATATAAGACAAATTTTTTGTAATATTTTTACCTACCTACCTACCAGACGGAAAAGCTTGCTTTAGACTTGAAAGGGTTTTTTTTAAACATTTTATATACGTATCAGAGCCAAAATTTTGGATTTTTAAAAATACTATTAAAGACGTATAGGAAACATAAGTTTGGATTTGTTAAGAATATTTTGAAGGGTCTGTCGGGGACAAAGACGTGAATTTGTATACCCACAACTATGCTGTCGGGGTATTATAGCTTTGTGCAGCCCCAAGAGTTTGTAACGCCGCAAAATATTGGTCCTAGACCCACCTTTAAGAACAACACCGAAGGTCATAGCTCGACTAGCTGAGTCGGTCTAGACATGTGTGTCCGCCCGTCCGTCTGTCCATTATAATTTGTAAACACGATACAGGCCACAGTTACCTATCGTCACGAACTTTTGAATGTAGAATGCTCTAGAGGCCACAATTATGATCCGAAGACCACGAAATTTTACACCAAGAAGGGAATCTGGCCAAAGAATTAGCATGACTATTTTGATGAAGGCCTTCATCTTGTAAAGTCCTTTAAATTGTCCTCGCCACTTTTAAATCCCTTAAAATATCTACGATTTTTAAAATATCCAAAAGTGTTGTAAGGTAGCCACGTCTCCCGAAAAGTCATTAAAATTATCTATGCGTTTTGTGAAATCCTCTAAAATATCCACGACTATGGTAAATTCTTGTAAAATATCCGTCCCTATGATAAACTCTTTTAAAATATATACACTCTGTAGAAAAAGTCTGCGTACAAGATACCAATATACACAAAAAACATTAAGGACATGGAATCGTTTAAAAAACAAATTAATCTACATAGATATTTGAACCAATAAAAACCCATACACATGCCATTCTGAAATCTATAAAAAAATGCATGTCAATCGGGCAGACTTGAATTTTTGATG